AGGGCTAGAACCGAGGCTTGGCTATATCCTGGTGGCCATGGACCGTAATTGCAGACAAAGTGCCTAAGTTTTGGCTGACAAGCCAGCCAAGTGGAGGTCATGGTGTGAAAGCGGGCTGGACCAGAGAGGATGGAGAAACGAAAGCTCCACCGTGGGTGATGCTGTAGGCTGAGTCCCTATCTCCCTGTCTTCCCAGTGAACCTCATGCACAGAGGTCCCAAAGTGCTGAGTGAGGACAGGAGGGGTATTGCCAAAGCAGAGCACTGCAGACGAGAAGGCAGGAAGAAGGCAGAGGAGAACCCAGGAGCCTTAGCAGAGGGCTTGGGGCAGTGCTGCCCAAGAGAACTTTCTGCGATGGTGGAAATATCCTATCCCTGTGCCAGCCATAGACTTGAAATTGAGTAAGGCTGAGGAACAGAATTTTAAAACTTACTTTATTTCAATTCATTTAAGTTTAAATAGCCACATCCAAGTGGCTCCCACTTTTAGGATTGGAGGCATTAAATAGGTTTATTCCTCAGATCAATCAACAGGGTTTAATGAGTGCACAACACGAAATAAGTTGGCAGTGTTTGGTTTTGCTTTTTTCTACTTAGCAAGAAACAAAGGAAAAGAATCCAGAGCCACTCATCGCCAGAAGCTCACAATCTAATGGGAAATACTAGATTCCAAGGAGGAAAAGAAACCCATGGGCAATCTGGGTAAAGAAGCATACCTGATCCACAGAATGCCAGCTTCGTCAAAGCCACCGTCTTAAACAGGGGACTTTAATAGCATTCCTGGCACCCCTGGCACTGTTCTAGGGACAAGATGTCCAGCAAAGTGAAACCACATTATTTTTCAAGTTATGAGACAAGTAAAAAGCCAGACAGGTTTACCAGGCCTGAAGACTGGGAAGAGACCAAGGACACGGTTCAAGTTCAAGAGGAGTAAGGTGGCCCGGACACCTCACAGTTTCAAAACTGTCAATCAATTGGTTTTTCTCACTATGATTTCTCTTCATGTGAGAATGTGGTTTGCTTAACTAATGAATGTCTAGAGCATTATTTTTAAAAAGAGAGAGATTTCCAATTCTAGTCTTGAAAAGACGCAGGGCTCAGTTTTCCCTCTGAGTGGAATAACTGGCTAGGAAACAGCCAATGTCCAGGCTTGGAGCAGCCAAGAGACTAGGGACACTTGAAAAGAAGGTGCTAGAGAAGTGCATCCCCCAGGATGGACACAGAGCAGCTCTCACTGAACGAAAAGATGCATCAACACTTCTCAGGGACAGGAATTAGACCCTGGGGAACACTGAGGGGTGGGCTGGGGGTTAATAAGCCTGGGGAGAAATTTCTAAAGTGCAATTTTTTGCTTTAGCTTTTCCAGTTCTAAGATAAAACACTGACATTAACAACAACTTATATTTGTACAGTGATATGGTTTACAAAGTTTCTTCTTACTTCATGATGATGCAAAACCCTGCAAATATTCTTTTTTTTTTTTAAGAGAAAGTGAGATGGGAGAGAAGAGGGGCCAGGGCACAACCTTCAAAACGATGACACAGCCGTTGAGGGTACGATACAAAGAGGTTAGAACCAAGCAGGCCCAAGATGGCGGGAGATTCGACTCCCAGTAGACCCTGAGCCTCACTGTAATACACTTGCACGCTAAATGTCACGCCCACAGTTCCAAGGCTGACCACAAACGACCAAAAAGTAGGCCGTGGCCCAGTTCCTGGAAATCCCCACCCCTGCCCCCAAATAGTTGAAATAATCCTCCCACTTGTTAGCATATGAAATTACCCAGCCCATAAAAGCTAACCACCCCCATCCCCACCCCACCCAGGGCCGCTCTCCCTTTCTGTCCAAGGAATGTCTTATCTCTCTAAATAAACTTGCTTCCACTTTGCTGGCTCCTGAATTCTTCCCTGCACGAAGCTAAGGACCCTCACTTGGCGGCCCATCCCACGGACTCCCTCGAGACCTGGGACATGACCATCCTCTCGCGACCCATCGTCCTGCAACAAAAGGGCTCAGGGCTCAAAGTTATAAGAAAAACAAACAAATTAACTACAAGTGTAGGCAAAAGTTCTTGCATTCTTCCCGTTAAGCTCTGCAGGTTCCTCCCGAGGAGTCATCAAAGGACAGGAGAGCAGATGAGGAAGGAGTGACCCCCTCATCCAATCACCTGCTCCCAGCCTTCTTGCAATCTGCCTGACCTCAGAGAGAATCTTCCAGTTACCTCACACTCTCTCCTGCATCCGTTTGGCTAAATACAGTAGACATTTAGAGTGAGAACTGATTGGTAAGTTGAGGGTGTTTCCTGGGAGGAGACAGGCAGAATAGAAGAGATGAAAAATGGAGCCATGAGCCAGGGGGACCATAAATCCCAGTTTTCTTGGAACAGACCTAGTTGACACCTGTAGTCCCAGCATGATAATCATAGTGCCCTCCCACTCTCACATGTGCCCCGCTTTATGCATTATAGTATATGGTCACCCTCTGTAGGGTATCTTTTTTTCACAAAATTACATTGTTCCCCTGGGGTAATCAGCAACGTTGTTCTGGGCTCAGCTTTCTCATTCTCAAGGTTAAAGCATCTCAGGAGCTAAATTCACATGCCAGGCATGTTAAAGAAGTTAGCTGCTTTAACCCTAATCACCTGTGGTTTGTGGTTCTGGATGGGACCTCAGGCTGTGACCCGGACCCTTACCTTGGCTGCTTAAAAATCATCTGGGGAACTTGTTAAAAACATAGATTCGAGGGCCCCACTGCCTGAGATTCTGATTCAGCACATCTGAGAATCTATTTAAAAATGAAAAACCAAGCTTCCCAGGTGGTTTGGACACTCGAGCCAGATTTGAACTCACTGGTGAGTCATCGTCCTTTGACCACTGCCTGGAGTGATCTATTGTTGCCATGGAAACCACTGATCTCCCCCCACCCCCGCCCCCCAGCCAGATTGAATTTTACTTCTCCTTTTTTAAAGCACACATCTGTTTAAAAAATAGAGGGCATTATTTTGGGGAGAGGAGTATTTTCTCTCAAAAGATATTTAGAGAGGAAAAGCGAAGGCCCTACAAGGCAGAACATTTTTCTCATCTGAAACCAAACTCAGCAGGAAGCAGGCGTCCCTCCTGACTTGAGTCCCACTAGGAAGAGCTAATGAGCAGTTACTTTTGGAGGCAAGATTCAGACTGTGTGGCGCTTCCTTCAGGTTAGTTGTTATAAGGGGCCTGGAGGGAGGCCCGGGCCCACTGGCTTCCCCGGGGGTCTGAAGAGCTGGTGGTGACTGGCCAGGATGGCATTAAGACTGGGGGCTCTGGCTGGAGGCAGATCTGGAAAAGGATGGCCCTACGTAATTGCCATCAGAATAAACTTTACACATGCGGCTGTGTGGCCAGGTGACCTGCACTGAGCCACCCTGTGAGCACCCCACACTGATGCTCTATGACTGAGCTGAGAAAAGAGCAGTAACAGTCCTCCTTCAGGAGCAGACGCAGAGACGATGGGGGTGGAGAGAGGCGCCTGAGAGAAGCCTTCTGCAGCTTCGTGTGGCCAAGCTGGCCTGACGAACTCAGAATTTAGCAATTCTGAGTTCTCTTTTCTTTCAGCTTAAACACAAAAGCATAAAATGACTGTATCTCAAACAGAAGGATCTTGGAATTCACTGCTCTTTGTAAATCCTGACACATCTCCTTCGGACACCAAAGCAGAATTTCCCCTCCAACGACCCTCACTGGGATCCAACGCCTTGTCGGAAACTACTGTAGTAAGATGCCCAGGGGCCCTCTGGGTACCAGCGGGACCCTTCACTGCGGTTCTGCGCTACAGAAGGCGCTGGCCCTCTCTGAAGTAGCAATCACTTTTGGTTCTCCAGTCTCTCCCTCAGCCTTTGTCTACAGAACTCCTCGACTTTGATAGAACACTCAGCCCCGTATGCGAAGTCTCTCTCCCAGACATGCTCTGAAAGTGCCTCCCTCTGGTTCAGGGCCCAGAAAACCCAGCTCAGTTCCCTGACCCAGCTGGCTGTCGGCACCCCGCATCCCACCATCCATTCAAAGGCCACAGAGCACCAAGATCTGTATTAATCATCCTCTTCCAAACCCTTTCACAGCTCTACCCGCTCTTTGCCCCAAAACCCTCACACCACCATCCAGGACTCATAGCTCCCCCTTGCTGATACAACTCACCTCCCAACCACTGTGTCTTCCCAAACATTAGCGTAACTGCCTTTCCTCCACCCCCCGCACTGCAGACCCCCACTCCACATTTGGATTTGGGGGAAGCGGCTGTCACCAGCAAACACAAGGCCAGTCTGCTGACTCTGCTCTGAGAGTACACGATGACCAATTTAATTTTTCAGGGCTGAGCACATAATGAGAAACTGACACAGTGATAAGGAGAATGTGACGTGAGAAGAAGCCGGGAAGGAAGGATCACAGAGGACCCTTTGAACAGGGCTGGGTGGAAACGAGAAGGAAGTAATCGCTTACATCACAATATCTTGCCAGACCAGTGTTTATTTCAAGCCTCCTCTGCCTCTGGACACTGCTGCTACACACATCACTGCCCTCCACGATCGAACCACTCGTCTTCTCCTGGGACCCTGGCTTCCTTCCCCTGGATCTGCTGGGCCACACGAGCGTGGAGTCCACCCATTCACTGGGGTCATCTCTGCCCCTTGTCTGCTTAGGTGACTCCCAGTGCACCCTCGGAAGCTGCAGGGAAGAGCTCCCTCCCTCCGTTTCTCTCTTCTCTTGGTCCCAGCTTAAGCTCCAAGGAATTTAGAAGTTCTTAACAGGAGACTCACAGATGAGCTTCAGGGGCTCTGGGAGCCTCCTAACATTGCCCAAGTCATGTGTGTGTCTGTGCGCCTGCACACGGTTTTCTGGGGGCAAGATTCACCATTTTTTCCATCAGATTTTCACTGATGGAAAGGAGGCGGAACCCCTGATTGTTCCTTAGCCTGTCCCTGCGCAAGCTGCAGCCATGGTGGTCAAGTCCCCCCCGGCACGGTACCTTGGAAGCAGCCATCACTGCCGCGGTGGCTGCCACGTTCAAGCCTCGCTTCCCGAAGTGCACAAGGGCGTCATAACTCCGGTCTTTTGCTTGGACCAGGCAATCATCAATTTCCTGTCAAAGGGAAAACAGAGGCACACTGAGTTGGAAGGTTCAAATAAATCCCTGTCTTTCTCACTTCTCCTCAGCACTGAGCTTGGCAGCTTGCCTGACCACTGATTCTCGCTGGCACGGCCACCGCCTGGGCCAGTATTTAGCCTCTACACACAGTTCTGTCATCTGAAAAATGAGGACAGTGCACCTAACTCGGGGAGCACAGTGAAGATTACATGCGATCATTCCAGGAAAGCATCTGACACAGGGGCTGCTTTCAGTCACCGAGAACCTCCATCATCTTCCCTGTTTCAAGGGGGTCAGCTCTAAATTCTACTATTCTATAGCTATTTCATGCTCCACATCCCTCCCCCTGTGTATATCGATGGTCGGGATTAGCATGCAGGAAGAGAGAGGTGTTATTTTTGTCGCTAGGGAAGATATTTTACAGATAATAAAATAAAAGCAGAAATCAGAAGTCATCCAGCATCATACCACAAGGAAAAGGTGAGGTGGGAAAGAGCGCTGACGTCTACTTCGGGGACCCAAACCAAGTAAAAGTACTGGAATAGTTCAAATTTGGATCACCTCTGGCTTATTCTTTTTGTTTGTTTGGGTGGGGCTGTTTTGTTGTTGTCATTGTTTAAGGAAACAGCTGTTTTGTAATCACAGAGCTCATTTCAGGGCTCAGTCAGTCAATGATGCTTGGCCCTGTGTCACTTGAAGTTCAGCACATCTTCGATTTGAGGGACGCAGGTGGGCAGTCAACCCCCTGATCAATCCTTGTTTCAGCCTCCTGGGAAAGTCACAAGGAAGTTTTCACTGTCACCCCAGACTGACCCTGGAAATGATTCTTGGCAGCTCTGAAGAGTCAGACACCTGCCCTTCGGTGGAAATTACACTGGCAGCTCAGGGTAAGTCCAGTGTTCAGAGAAAAGGAAGTAGAAAGAGTAGAAATTTGATAACCAGGTCAGGACAGGAAGTACCATTCCTCAAAATCCACCCTCTGAGACAGGAAGGGTTGTGTTCTAGTTCCTAAATGGAGTCTCAGAAATGTCTACGGTAGCCTGCCTATCTCACTGACAGACCCAACAGAGCCTTCCCCTAGAAGTCCAAAGTATGCAACTTGCAGAACCAACAGACATGAATACATCAAGCCACCTAGAGAGCTCCTAATTCATGCCATAGAATCATACCACACAATCGGTTTAGAAAGTCACTTAGTATCAGTAACGAATCATACAATGTTGGACCCAATAATTCCACTCTTAAGAACTTACTCTAAGATAATAAGTCAAAAGAAGGAACTATGTATACTACGTACAGTGATGTTTGTGGGTCATTAAGAAGACCTAGTGGAAATGGATGATGGGCAAACATGTTTAAGATCTCAGAAAACAAATATTGTATCTGCCCAGTTTTTTTGTTGCTGCTTTTTGGTTAGGGGTTAGGTTTTTTGGTTTGTTTTTTTTTTTTTTTTGTATGTTTACAATTTTATTTTAAAGAAATGTTACATACACTGGATTGCATAAAAAAAAGGAGTTACCAAACAAATTAATAAGACAGAGGTTAGGGAGGGTATAGGTCAGTGGTAGAGCGCTTACTTTGCATGCATGAGGTCCTGGGTTCAATCCCCAGTGCCTCTGTTAAAAAATAAATAAATAAATCGAATTACCACTCCCTCTCAAAAAAAGACAGAGGTCATGTTAATTTTAATGGTCTTTGCATCTACTATTGTATGAAATCTTAACAAAACAATGGAACAATCCACTGAAAGCAAATCTGGCGAATAAGATTCAGCGGAGATGTTTAACAAAAAATAAATTTATAATGACATTATCTTGTAAGTAGCTTAGAATTAAATTTCTTTTCAGGCGGTAAAGTTGTAATTCCTCCTTAAATCCTTAGTTATTGTCACCCCCTTCCTGCAGTTTCTCCCTGTCTTATTTTTTCCATCTCTGACGTTAGACAAATCTACATTTTCATTTCAAGGAAGTTTGTGAGTTACTTTGAAGCAAATAGACACAAAAGGTAAACAGATGAAAAAAACTATAACTATCCTCATTCATACGTATCGACTGATCATCACTAAAGTAGCAGGTGCTTCACTGGTAGCATACATTTTATCACTGAACAATGAAGCAAACACTGCACTAGAAACATACTACATTCCAGTCTCTGTCAGTAGCTATCTGGGTCCAAGGTCAAGTCATTTAATCTCTCTGGGCTTCAATTTTCCTATTTATGTTAAGTTTTAAAAGTATTTTTTCAGGAGGGTAGTAAATAAGAGTCAACAGAGAGTCTCCTGCAATAACACAATCTGCCCTTTCTTTTTATTACTTGCTAAATTTTTTCACTCGCTGGAAGGAGTGCAAAGCAGGGCGACATAAATCACCTTTTCTTTTGAAGACAGCGTGGGATGCACAAACTTCCTGTAGAGGAGGCTGGAACCTTTTGTGTAGGGAGACAGCAGCCAGGCTACAAATGCTATTTTTAGTTCATAATAGAATGGAAACCTGGAGAGAGAGGAGAAAATACACATGCCATTAGGTTCTCAGCAACACGGCCCTGGGCCTGTGAAAGACGGGTCCTGGTGGCACAGACACCTCTCCCGCCTGAACACGGCCACCTGGCCCCCAGATTCCTGTGAAGGTGTGTGCACACACACATGCACCTCCACTGCACAAGCCCAAGGCCTCTTTTGAAAGCTGGTTCATGTTTTCTTTTGTCGCCCAGCAAGCCGGGAACCCAAGGTCTCTCCAGCAATCACCCTATGACCCTGCCTGATGACAGCTGGTGCTTCCTGCCAGGCTCAGCTCATTTTGGTTGAAGCTGGGGCTCCTGCAGGTCCAGATGCCACATCCATCCGTGCCCAAATACCTGGTCATTCACTCTTCACTCAACACCAAGAAGGCACAAACACCTGGAGGATTTATAGCAGGGTGGGGGGCTGATAAAAAATCTCCAGACTCAGAATGAAAACCTGCCCTTCTTGGCTGTCTTCTTGGTCCCTAAAGAGGCAGGGGCAGGAGCCCAACTCTTCCCAGGAAACGGATCTTGGCAGACAAATAGATCCTGATCTTTTTGGTGCCCAGAGAAAGAAGAGTTCAGGGTGCAGACAGCATACAATTCTGAAGTTTAAAGTCCTGCAAACCTTTCATTTCTGCATCCCATAAACACCCGGCACCTCAGCTGGTGCTGAGCACCGAGGAGATAGGAGGGACAAAGAACCCATCCCTGCTCTCTTGGAGCTTCTGGCCTAATGGGAAACACAGACAAGATTCTGGCATCCTTGGAACTGACAGTCCAGAGGAACAGAGATTGATCAAATAATCACAAATAAGATAGAATAGTAACCTCAGACAAATGCCATAATGGGCCTCTGCTAACCCACGTGGTTTCTTTGAACATGTGAGAAAAAGCCAGGCCCTTCAGCTGGACGCAGTCCTGCGAGCACATGGCTCACAAACGGGGCTTCTTCTGAAATTCAGCTCCACTTGCCTCCTTGGCCAGATATCTTGTGCTATGAACAACCTGTGCAACTGTATTTGGCAGGCCTGATGTGATTTAACCATGTCTTTTCATTTTCTGTATTCTGATGCTTTAACATCTTGGGGTCTTGCCAACTCTGGAAAGTCTTCCCCTCCCATGGAAACCACAGTACTGGCTCCTGCCCACGTTTCCTGCCTCTGCCTCCTGATCAGCCCCGGGCTTCCCCGTGTGGCCCCGAGTGGCAGGCTGTGCCTCTAGGATCTGTGAATATAACAAACGTATTCCTTCATGAAGGTCATGTCTGTGTCTGTGTGTCTCATGAGGCCTGATTAAAGCAAATCCCAGGTATCCTTAAAACATGATGCTCTGAGGGAAAACGACACCTGTGCTGGTCTGAGGACTCAGAAAAGCAACCCCCTCCCAGGACCCCTCCCTGATAAGGGAGCCAAAAACAAAGAGCGATTTCTACCAAGCCATTTCAGAGCCTTCAACTCTCACTAACTCCTTCTCTCCCCACTGAGGCTCCCAGTCAGCTGCCTTCTGCTTCTTGCAGGCCTGTCCCAAGCATTCCCTCAGCAACTAAGGGGCACTTTCATGTCAAGAATGCTTATTGTTTCACAGCCAGAAAACAGAAGGGCCTGAAGGAACTGAGGTGTGATTCTCCCACCTCTGAACATTCTGCTGATTAACAACGGAGGAAATTTTGTCTTGAAAACAAGGATTTGCCAGCCTCAAGGGGCAAGTGACTCCGGCAAGCTCCGGCATCAACCCAAGAGACACAGAAAACCCCAAGGGGATCTGTCGCACTGTGTCTTTTTTGTTTATTATGTGAAAGATGTATTTTTTAAAAAATAGGTCATGCATGTACATATTTTGTAAAATTCTAGAATTCCAAAAGAGCACATAACAAAGAATCTCCTTCCCATCCTGGACCCCTCATCTCTCTTCCGAAAGCACAAACATCATCAGTGTCTTTGTGCATCACTCCGGAAGTGGACTAGGGATAAGTCCCCCCACCGCACACACACAATTAGCAGTACACTTTGGAGATTATCTCATACTGGTGCATGGAGAGCCGCCTCACTCTTCTTGTTATTTTTTTTAAATGGGGGAGGTAATTTGGGAGGTAATTTTAGGTTTATCTATTTGTTTTGTTTTTTTCAAACAGAGGTACCGGGGATTGAACCCAGGACCTCGTGCATGCTAGGCATACACTCTACCA